TTCCTCAAAGATGGATAAACCAAGGTATACGAGCGACCTGCCAATCACCTTCACAGAAAACCGTAAAAAATTAACATTCAAACTGCATAAGAAGTTAGGAAAAAAAAAGAAGCATTAGATGTTATACCAATTTTCTATACAGCAGTAAAAAAAATTGTCCTAGAAAATAAAACTTGTTAATATACATCACCCTGTGTTGCGGTATACAGTATTATACTTTTTCTATAATAGAGGAAAATTGCAGTAAACTTTGTTGAATAGCAATCACATCAATTGAAAAAAATAGAATATAAACGAAAAATATAACAACTAATTAATTGAGAAAAACAGATAACACGTAAAGCCACTGTTAACTACTTGAAATTAATGATAGATCTGCATAAATGTATAAATAAATGACAAAGGAAAAAATCCTTTATACACCACTGGGAATCACTAATTGTAAAATCCACATCACCAACACATCATTATCATCATTATCATCATTATCATGCATCATCGTCATGGCAAGATGATTTCAGGAAAGCTATGTGAAAACTGGAAAAGTATGACGATGAAACTGAAATTCAGCAAGTAAAAAATCAAATCCTTTGGCAGTTCTTTGACTGAATGCAGCGTAAAACTACAGATTTAATACATTATTTAGCATGAGTGGAAAAGAAAAAAGTAAACACTATATGCAAGCTCAAACCTCAACCGAGATAAAAAAACAGAAGGAAAAACATGGCAACAACATTCCTATCAAAACAAAAAGCGGTCTGAGATTCACATAAAAACTAATATCTTCAGCAAGCGTACGAGAAATTTCTTCATTTGAAGAGCAACAAGTAAAAAAAAGAATTTGACAACCAAATTCATAGTTGTAAAAAAGATAAGCATATTTTTATTTCTAATCAAAGCACAGGATAAATTAAAGGCAACAATTAACTTCTGTTCAGTACTAGCAATAATGTTATTTCTTATAAAAAAACCGTGAAATAACTAGCAGAACTGTAAACCTGTAACAGAAACAGCTTCAAATAGAAATGTCATCTAGGTTAAATTAACAAATAATTTTTCTAGCGATACTTCAAAACAAGACTGGTGACCTGCTTATAACTGCTCGTCACCTGAAGATGGTAAAATCTCACTTGGTGGAGTTGGTCCGCCACTAGATGGAAGCGTTGGGGAATTATAGCCTTGGTGAAAACTAAAGGAGTCGTTCACAACCAAATCGTGCGAAGATCTTCGAAAGCTATTTTTTATCCACCTCGCAAGTTTGCTCACTTTTGATTTCTCATTAATCGGTGCTGCTGTGAAAGCTTTTTCTCGAGCTTTTTCTTGAGCAATTGCCTGAAAAACAATAGAGGTAACATCTAACAATCAATATTAACAAACATATAATTTTATAACAAATTTCTGATTCTAGAGGTTTCTTTCTACCTGTCTAATAATATCAACATCGCTTAAAGTATGCCGTCGCCACAAATCTTTACGAGACGCTTTAGCGCGAGCTTTAACTCTTTGTGCTCTTGATGAACAGCCTGCATTAAGAAACGCTGGTTTCTCATTCTCCTTCGCTTCTATTAAAATCTGACGTTGAGAATCTACCTAAACCCGAAAGAATATAGAACATCAAATGCACAAAGAAAATGCAAAAAAAAAAAAAAATTTAATTTGTAAAATTTAAGTTTTTTAAGAAAAACTGAAAAAAATTCAAACAAAACTAACTTTATTTTGTGTTTCGGGCTGCTCTTGTGCATTATTATGCGCAAATGTAGAAAACTGCGGAGCTCGAATCTCTATGTTTTCTGCATCAGTCCCTAATTGTGTGGATGGATTTGTTTTGCAAAATGATGCATTTACCAATGATCCGTCGATTCGCATCTAAATAAAAGCGAAAAAGAGTGCACATTAACTTTTCATTACTCCTAAAAGACAAAAAAAAAAAAAA